ACAGGCAGAGCAGAAACACTAGGGGCTGTCTGAGCAGGTCCCCCACTCTCACCCAGGTGCGACTCACGCAGGAGTCACGCCCTCTGAGGTCAGCGCGCCGCTGGCAGCCTCGCCCCGTTTGGTTGCATAGAAGAAGGGAGGTGCCACTCTCCCCTCTGCCACAGCCAGACCCGCCTGCTGCCAAGCCACGTGGCATGTGCGTCTCTCAGCCGAGTAGCTTCTACTTGCAGTTCCGTGGGCACCTGCCATCTGTCCCTTCCTCTGTGGTCTAACATCAGAGATTCAGGAGGAGTAAGTATAGAGACTGAGAGCATGCACTTTGATGTCAGACCGGTGCAAGTCCTGCTCTGCCCCTAATCAGCTGTGTGACCTTACAAGTTACTTAACCTCTCTGAACCTCAGTTTTCTCATCTGTAAAATGGGATCTCGGCATTATCCTGAAGATTAAATGAGCAGAAGGTGATTTGCAGAATGGCTTACACATGGTAAGATCCCAGTAATGGCAGCTTCATTAAGGGAGTCTTATTAGGGGAGGCCCCTGATCTGTGTGCTGCAGAAAGAAGCTTGGGGTTGGTGCTGTCCTGCATTGAGGGGGCGTCTGGGTCCAGGCTCTGGGGTTTGGGAGGAACTGGTGTGTAGACTGGGAGGTTGGAGGGTCTTCCTGCCGTGACTTCCCTTCCACAACCATCCCTCGTCTCCAGAGACTTCCAAAGCTTCGTCCCGTGAGGCAGAAAGCTGACCCTGGGGGTCATGGGAGAAATCGCTGCAGTTGGCCAAAACCCTGTCGTTCGGGGTCTTTGCCCACAGGAAGCCCTTGCCTCCTTGGGCTGGGAGGGGAGAGCCCGTGGGTTCGCCTCCGTCATTGTTCAGCACGTGCTGCTACGCGGGCACGCATGCCAGGCGCCTCCTGGTGCTGGAGTGAACCCTGCCCTGCGGGCTCGCGCCATGGTGGTGCGGGATGCGCAAGGCCCTGGAGGCGGCCGGCACCATCTCCTCCTTGCCGTGGCCGGGAGGTGGCTCCTCGCCACCTTGATGCCCTCAGCCAGCGCTGTCCTTGCTAGCCGGCCCTGCTCCCCGACCCTCTCGTTTCTGCCCCAGGGCAACCCGTACTGTCCTGCTTCTCCTCCTCCCTGGAACCCTTACTCCTGCCTCTCTTTCCCAGCTCTTCTTCCAAGGCCAGCTCAAGTTGTCACTAAGTCCCCTGTGAAGCCATCCCGGCCACTGAGCACCATCGGGGGTCCCCCAGGGCCACGTATATGCCTTGACACTGGCGAGGTCTCATCCTACCAGCCACGCTGCCCGCTCTGTGAGGGCGGGGCTGGAATCGTGCTTCCTTCAGCTGTGCTGATGGTGGGCAGTGATGGGTGCGTAAGAAATATTTCCCCGACTTCGAGTGGGTTCCGCGTTAGGTGCATGGGTGGCGTCAGACGGCCTCCCTGTTTTCAGAAGGTCGTGGAGTGACCTACCCAGGTGGCCTGCCCTCTTGCCAGTGTTCTGGGCCTCAGCAGTGTGGCCCTGTTGTATTACAGGATGTTCCCAAAGTACTTTGGACTCCATGAAAAGCCTGGGGGGTTATTCTGGTCCAAGACAGTTTAAGCTGGTTGCTGTTGTAGAATCTGTTTTAAATTTTCACCCAGCTGTGGATAGTTTGGCGTAAAACTGGTATCTCCCCACTTCTCTCCAACTCTTCCAGTTATTCATGGATACCTGTGTCACGCTGCAGCGGCCACCGCTGAAGGTCAGGGTCAGCCTCTGAGACTCATCGCTGAAAGCACCAATGGTGGGGCTCGGGGCGTCGCCCCGCCCCCGTCAGTGACTCAGCGGTGAGCCCTTGGTCCCGACGCCAGTCCGTGGCCGACAGGCACAGACGTGCAAGTTGTGACCACCTTTGCGGGGCACTCACGTTGCCAGTGTCTTATATTCCCGTAATAGGTCAGAGTTTGTGAGGGTCTAAGTGGACATCGTATCATGACTACTTCAACAGATTTTGAGCTGAGGTGTCCCCCAAACTCAACGTGCCCCTCTTTAAAAAGTGGTGCGTTTGCGTTCATCTGCAAGAACCACACGTGAGCTAATTCCCTTGTTTCCTGGGCTCCTGCACGCGGAGGGAGGGGTCGTGGTCATGGAGAGGCGGGCGGCTGCGCGCTCTGCTTTGTCGTCCTGTGGGTAGCAGCTGTCCGGGGTTCCGGGCACGTGGAGTGGAAGTGGAGTCATTGATCAAAGGTACTGAGGAAGTTTCTTTTATAGGAAACTTTCAGTTAACCCTTTTAAAAAATGGGCCATGCTCGCCGCCTTCCCTTCCTGTCTGGGTGGGCTTCCCGCAGTGGGTCACAGCTGCCAGCGCCTCAGCCTGCCTGGCGCGGCCCCCTGCCTCCCCGTGCTACACTTGGCGTATCCAGGCCCTTTGCCCGGCGTAAAGCTCTGAGATGTGTTGGTTTGCCTTCCTCCTTCTCCCCTACACCTCCGAACCTATTTCTTCATGTACAAATAGTGCCAAGAATAGCTGTTCTCATGGAGTTATCGGGAGCTTTAAATGAAATGGTACGTGTAAAGCGCCCGGCGGGTATCTGGCTTGCGGTCCGCAGGCGCTCGCTGGCAGCTGCTCTGTGCTTGGTGGTGAGATTGGTGGGACTGGGGATTTGCTGAGAACTCTCAGCTGGCTCTTCGGCCCCTGGTGGGCCCTGACTCCTCGAGAGATGGGTCTCTGGGGTCCATCTTCAGAGCTGTTGAGGGGAGCAGAGGTGGTGCTGGTGTGAGAAGCCTGCCTGGCAACCCGTGACATTGGCAGCCGCGGTTCCACCGTCCACTGGCTAAGGCTGATTCAGATGGGGGGCATTGGCCTAGCTTTTTAAGAAACTGGACTTCTGGCTAAAAATGATTTGTTGAGCATTCCAAGACTCAATACAAAGAAACTTGTTTGTGTAATGCACATATGAACTTTATTTTTAAAAAAACCAAAAATCCTAAAGAAATAAATGAGATTTCCTGTTGTAACAGGGTACAAAGAAAGTTGGGATGGCTAGGTATGCAAGTATTGAGAAGAAGGTTTGGGGAGACAAGATTCATTTTCTAAAAAACAAACAGAAAGCTTTCCTGTTGCAGATTGGACACAAGCCTGCCCAACCAGGGCCCCTCACTGAACTTGTTTCAGAAACCCACGTGACCTCCCGGCTGCTCCGTGCTCTTGTGTTTGGCTGAAGAGTCTCCATTTGAAGGGAGATACGGGTTGAGAACCAGGTGTTGACTCGTGCTGCTAGGGCCCTGGAACTCCTGAGTGGTCCAGCACACCCCATCCACACCCCTCACATCCTGCCAGGGGCTTGTACTAGGCACTCAGCCTGCGCAGAGTGAGGCTCACACCCTGCTGGCTTCCAGTCCATCTCCTGGGGAGACATCAAGGCGAGATCCTGAGGGTGTGGATGTGACAGAGGCCACCTTAGGTCAGGACTGCTCTGGGAGGAGTGACAGCATCCAACTCAAGGTGTTGGGGACGGGGGAGCAAGAAGTCTGACGTCCCAGCCAGCCCTCCGTCCTTCCACTCCACGTCGTGTGGGAGGGCTGCTGGTAGACACACATTGCCAGAAGTGACAGCCAAGACGAGTCCATAAATGGCAGACATGGGTGGCCTCGGGCTGAGAGGGGCCACTTCTGCTGCGGCCCGTGTGTGTCTGTGGCTGCCGCATGGACAGCTGGGCTTCTGCCCTGGTTTACGATGTTGTCCGGAACAGACGGCGGCTCCAGACACTTGCAGGGGACGGCTGTGGAGGGGAGCTGGTGCGTCCTGTGCTTTTCAGCCACACCTGGCTGCTGGATCTCTGAGCCAGCCTCCTTCAGATTGGGCCAAGCACGGTTTAGTTTTCACAAGAGGTCTGCCTGGAGGAGCCTCGCTGTCCCTTAGGAAGGAGCGTTCTGCGAGGAGCCCGGTTTCTGAGGGTGGTGTGGAGCAGGGTAAGGAAAAGTGCCTGAAGCCAGACAGCTTGTGTTTGAATCCTGGCTCGCCTCTTGTTAGCTGTGGAAGTTGAGCCGCGTATGCTGCCTCTTTGTGCCTCAGTTTCCCCTCTGTAAGCTGAGGATGGTGACGTAGTGGCGGGAGCGCTTTGCACGTGGCAGCGGACGCACTCTTCTGAAAACTGGCTGCTTCCGCTCCTGTACTCCTCTCAGCCAGCCCATGGGGCGGGTCCTGTGCTCTGCCTGTCACCACGCTGAGGTGCACATTCCTCCGTGAGGACGCATTATTTGTTGCTAGTGCCAGGTTGTGATGCGCTCTCAGTAAGTAGCGTTTGTTTCTAATGCTTGGCGGGGCCTCCATTCTGCCCTCCGCCTTCACAGCCAGCTGGGACTTGGTTTGTTCTCTGACTTCAGAAACCTCAAGGGGGGCTTGGCTGGTGGGAGATTTTACAGGTCAGGCTGTGGAGAGCTGCCCTCCCTGGCGGGGTCTTCAAGCTCTGCAGTGCAGCTGCCCGTTGAGGCACCCAGAAGAAGTGGATGGCCAGTCCCAGGCCTGGGTGTCACCCTGCAGGTGGAACCGCCCCTCGGCGGAGGGGTGGCAGCAGTGTGTTCGCCTCCCCTCCTGCAGAGACTGGCCTCTGTCACCCCCGCCCCTGGACCCCTCGTGCTCCCTAGAGCTAATTGGTGCTCTGCCCTGCGTGCTCACAGCACCCTCTCCGTAGGGCGTGCTCACAGCACCCTCTCCATAGGGCATGCTCACTCACTCCTTCACTCGTCCGTTCGACAAGGATCGACCAAGACCCTGCGAGGTGCCAGACACTGTCCGGGGTGCTTGGATGTGTCGGAGAGCCAGACACACTCAGATCTCTGCCTTCATGTCGCAGGGCCCGGGGGATGGAAGACCGTCGGCAGCCACAGGGGGGTCTCCAGTGTGTGAGGGTGGTGAGTGGGGAGGGCAGTGAGCGAGGGCAGGTGGGTCGTGGCGGGGGGCTGAGCTGGGGTGAAGCAGGGTCGTCAGGGTGGTCAGGGAGGATTTGCCGCCCGGAGGCGTGGGAGAACGTTCTGGACAGGAGCGGCAGCCTGCACCTAGGCCCGGGCCTGGCGAGCTCCAGGGAGGGCGCAGGGCAGAGCGGCCTGTGGAGGCGGCGCCGGCCTTGCAGGGCCTTGTAGGCCATTGTCAGGACTGGCCTTCGACTCTGAGTGGGGTGGGGAGCCCTCGAGGGCAGGCTTGGAGCAGCGGGGTGACAGGATCTGAGGTGTTTGTTGAAAGGATAATTCCGACTGCTGTGCAGAGTCTAGACGTGGGGGACCTCACTGGAGTCTCTCCATCGGCGTCTCTTTCCCCCTAGATCGTGTGCCTCACGCAGGCACGGCGCCCTCACACGAGACGCTGACGGACAGTCGTGTTTTCAGTGACTAAAGGCAGGCCTTTTGTCACGGTGTGATAGGAACAGCGGAGGGAAGGGCAGCACCATGTGATGTCACCCCAAGCACGGCCCTTCTCGCTGGCCGCGGGCCGGCTCTGGGTTCTGTCAGTAACAGTGGCCCGGTGCTCAGGGTGCAGGAAGCGGCCGACCAGAAAGCTTCTGTGTCTTCACCGTGAGACTCTGTGCTCTGGAAAGGAGCCAGGGTCTGTGGAAGTGGATGCTGTGCAGCTGAGGATGGTGTGGAGCAGTACGAGGAGCCCCAGGGACGAGGCAGTGCCCCGCTCGGAAGACGGCCTCAGCTCCTGCCTGTCCTGCCCGGCGCAGCCTCCTCTGGGTCCGAGGAGGAAACACGCGGAAGCCGGCACAGCTAGAGACACAGCCCCTCAGGAAAGCCTTCCAGCTCAGCTGGGTGACCGGTGAGCTGAGAGTCAGGCCCCAGGTCCGCCCAGCCGAGCACGTCCAGGGGTTGGTTTCCGATCTGCTTCCATAGAAAGATCCCAAAATGGGTTTCTGTTCCTGGATGGTTTGCTTCAAGAGGTGATTTTCTATGGGAAAAGCCAAAGAACAGGCAGCTGTCTGCCTTCTGCCTTCAAGGAAGGTCTCGTGGGGACGGGCTCCAGGGAGGCAGTGTGGTGAGGCGGGCAGGGGAGCCCGTCCAGAGAGACAGTGGACCAAGCCGGAGTGGGTTCTGACCCTGGGAAGTTTCAGTTTCATCACGCGTGAGATACAGACGACATGTAGTCACAGTGCTGTAAGCGATTGTCATGAGCATCACAGCTAGCAGTTATTGAGCACTGTGTCCCGGGTCCTCAGTGAAGTCCCGTATGTGGATTGATTTAGCTTCTACAGGAGTCTCCTAAGATAGGTCGGCCGCACCAAGGCTACCCAGCCAGTAGGTGGGGTGGGGAGTAACCCAGCAGGCTGACTCAGCCCTCTTGGGAGGAGTAATCGAAGTCCCGTGAGATGACGTACAGAGAGGCTCAACACAGGCGCGCTCGGAGAGACGAAGGCTGCTGGGCGTGCCTGTGTCCCGCGCGCTGTGCTGCCCTGCGTCTGTGCCAGGGGCCCCGCTGTGGATCATTCTGGTCACGTGCTGAAAGTGTGCGGGGCCTCAGTCTCTTTGTTGCCGGTGAAACTTGATCTGCTTTGCCCACAGCCGCCAGCCAGCCTAGGCCGCTTCCACTTTCACCTGGAGCTTCTAAAGGTCAGGGGAATCCTGACAGATGGTCCTCTTATCTCCTAAGTGTCTTAGAGCTGTTTATTCATTTAACAACTGGAAGTGATTTTTTTAAAAAAGATAAAACCAGCTCTTTTGGTCAACAGTGACGTCTCCAGAGGTCAGCATCTGGGTTCCCCGTGGCCTGCCAGGACCCGGGACTGGCGGCTGGAAGAGTAGCTGATCTGGTTTCTGTTTGTATCTCCAGGCTAGTGCAGGGCCTGGCACAGGACAGGCGTGGAAGGAGGCCGGGGGTTTGTGGATCCAGTGCTGGGGCAGTGTTGCAGCCAAAGCTTTCGATTCCACACTTCCTCCAGTCATGTCCCCTCTTCTCCCAGGGCACAGAAGGATCGTGGCCACAGGCAGCTGGGGTTTTCCGGGACAGTTTTCTATAAGCCAGTGGAATGCCCTGTGCTGAGTCACTGCCCAGTACCTGGGGCTGGGGCGTGTCCTCAAGAAAGAGCGCTGCTCTGGGCGTCTCGGGGCTCTGTTCTGGTCTGACCAGATGCTTGACCTTAGGGCTGTCCATGGGCTTCAGCTCTTCACCTTCCAAAGGCCGAGTCTGTGCCAGGCATGTTCCATAAGGTGACCTTATTGAATCTCCGTAGAAGCCTATAAGAGAATGTTGTTCCCATTGTCACAGACAGATAATGACAATCTGTAAAGTGAAGATGAGCCCAGGACCCTGTCTCCTAGGATTGCTTTTGAGGATCGAGTGCGATGCTGGACGGGAAGTACTTAGCAAGGGTGTAGTGAGCACTCATGAGATGTGGCTGATGGCTGCTGTTGGGGGCGGGGGCCCGAGCGTGGTCGTGGGTGAGGAAAGTGGGGTTGAGGGATTGGCTTGAGGTCGTGAGGCTAGTCGTTGGCAGAGCAGGATCTGGAAAGGGCTGTGTCTGACTCTTCTACCCGCCGCGTCAATGTGGAGAGCACAGCAGCCCCGCCTCCAGCTCCCCGTGTTCTGGAGAAGCCGCGCTGTCTTGTATGGGGCGACTCCTCGACAGGTAGACGCGCCACCAGCGGGCGTTGCCCCTCCTTCGTCTCTGCTTCCCCTTCGGGCTCCTGACGTCCATTCCCCGTAGGTTCCCTGTGAGCTGGGCAGGCAGGGGACTGAGAACAGGAGAAAAGGGAGGCTGGGGACAGGGAGCAGCCCGAGGGGAAGCCTCAGTGAGTGGAGTCCTCAGGTGGCGGCTGTGACGGGGGTGGCGGGGGCGGGTCGTTTGGCCTCTCAGTCCTCTCTTCTGGAAAGTGAAGTGATGATCATGTCGCACCTGCAGAGACGTTGGCGAGGACGGCCTGAGGTGAGGCGCACACGAAGCACTCAGCTCCACGCAGGAGTGCGTGTAAGCCCGTGGTGATTGGGTGGTGGGCCGTGTGACCAGGAGACCTCAGCGGGTCATTTACCCCACAAGTCCACACTCCTCCTCCCGCGGCACACCGATCCCTCTCCTTCCCTCAGAGTTAATGCGGGGACAGCTGCCCCGGAGCTCTCTTACGGTATTCCTGTCCCCTCTGCTAGCTTCCCCCAAAAAGAAACGCCAGGGTCCAGCAGCAGCTGCCCCTCCCTGCGGCGGGGCCAGCACGCGGGGTGCAGGGCAAGCGGATGCAAGCGTTTGCCTCCTCACCACCACTGCTGCTACCCCGTGTGTCATCATCTCACTTAAAGACCTGGCCACTCAGTTGTAAGACGCATAAGCAGCCGGGAGTTGTCGGGGGTGGGAACTGGTGTCCTCTTGGCCCCTTGGTCAGTAATAACACCTTAGACCGGCAGGGCGTGGGAAAGTCTGACTCATGCTGACGCAGACTGACTTCACAGATCTGTGCTGAGTGACTCCTGGTTTCGTTTATAAAAGGCGCAAGCCCACTGTTTCCAGGCAGAGTCACAGTGTGCCTGGGAAGTTGGGGGACTCCGGGAGCACCGTCAAGGTACAGAGTGAAACCTCTAGAGGCTTCAGATGCGGGCGGGGCAGTGTCATGTGTTAAAGCAGTTGAGGGGTGAGAGGCAAGATCAACCTGTGGAAGCTTCACAAGACCCCTCAGAGGGGCATAGCCTCTCACGCAGCCTTCTGGGGGCTGTGCCTGTTTCTGACCTAACGACCTTGGATCCTGAAAGCTTGCCATTGTTCAGTGATGATGTGTCCATATTAGAATAAAAGCCAGTGTTCCATTCTGTCTGAAGATGGAATGGAAGATTGACGTGATCTTTTAAAAATAATAATACACGATCAACATTGGGCCTCTGGATGTCGGCGATGCGAGACAGGCCTGCTAGGTTCCTCTCCCGTCTTGAGGCTGGACTCCCAGAGAGGTGCCTCTGCGGCTCACGATGTCCTTCCAGGACCTTCCACTCCCCCTTTCTCCGCTCCTTCCGTGGTACTTGGGCAGCAGGCATGTAGTCTGGCTGGAAATTCAGAGGGTAAGGTAGGCACCCTTGGACCGTGTCCGGGTGAGCACTGCCTCCTCCTCTCCCCACCCTGGAAACGCACACGGGACGTTTGATGACATCCTTGTTTCCACTCTCTGAGGCCTTAGAGCGTTAACTCACTTCATCCTCACAACACCCCTTGCAGCAGGTGAGAGAATTAGCCATGCAAATACCTAGAGGAAGGAGCATTTCAGAAAAACCAACAGCAAGTTCAAAGGCCCTGTGGCCGCTGCATACCTGGCACATTTGAGAACAGCAAGGAGGCCAGTGGGGATGTGGGAGATGGTGTAGGGCTTTGAGGCCAATTTAAAGACTTACTCAGAGCACAGTGCTGGGTGGAGGGCATGCAAGGGGTGAGGCATAGGAGGGCTTTGAATAGAAGGGTGGCGTGATGAGCTTGGCTTCTGGGTTTTAACAGGATCCCTCTCTTTGTTCTGCTGGGAAGGAAACACAAAGAGTGATGCAGGGAGAGCAGCCAGGCATTGCAGGTGGGCACTGATGGTCTGTCGGACCAGGTGGTATCAGGGAAGGTCGGAAAATGGAAATTGAACCTCTGGGGGGAGGACAGTACATTTCTGGGTAGCAGTGGCCTGCTCCGTCCCATCCTCCCCTTCCTTCCCAGATCCCCGAGGAAGCTGATGGAAACTGAGCACCCTGATCCTGGGATGTCCTGGTCCCTGCCAGTCCCCTTGAGGAAGCCAGAGTGGCTCAAAAAGTCAAGACTGGACTTCTCTCCAGATGAGAGCAGAGCTACTGAAATGGGGGTGGTTTGGACCCCCTCTGGCTTTGGAGGCCGCCCTTTCCAGGGTCTCATTCTTTTGGCTGGGGCTCTGTTTTCCCTGGGGCTGCTTTGAGCCTTCACAGTTGTTTATGCCTGTGGTCTTGTCCTTTCCCCATAGGTAGTGTGATTTGGGGAAGGAGAGGGAGGTGCCGAATGCCCTCTGAGAGGACGCCTCGGCTTCTCTGCTGTGTGGCCTGGGGCTCTTCTTGAGTGGGTCCCCATTGAAGACAGCCTGAACGGGGCAAGTTCAGATTTATACGGAGGATAAGTCAGAGGAGTGAGAATATCCCTTACAAAGAGCACCTTCTGATGATAATAATAATTATGAATAATCTGGCAAAGGAGCTGACAGAGATAACAGGGGAACAATTTGAAATCAGAACACCCGGGAAGATCATGAGGACGTGGTCGTAGTAATTGTTATAAAACTGCCAACATTGTGCTCACTCTGACCTGTTACCACTTTTAATCTTCATAACAACCATAGAGGTGGTGCTGTGGACTCTATTTTACTGATGGGAAAACCACACACACACACACACACACACACTCACACTCTCTCTCTCTCTCTCTCTCTCTCTCTCTCTCTCGATTCGGACGTAGATATTCTCTCCCCAGAGCCTCTGCTCTTGGCCACCACTTCTTAAGATGCCTCTCAACAGCTTGCTTCCTTCTTACGATTTAAATGATTTTAAATCTTTATGTTTAGATTAAACTGTCTCATGAACTTGAGGATCACAGGTAATAGCTGCCAGAACATCTCCACAGACCCCGAGAGCCCGGATCCCTGAGGGCTCACAGATAGCTCGGGGGGCCCGAGATGCGGAGGCTGTCTGGAATGATTAGGGCAGAGGAAGGTGCTGATCCATCAAGGAGACGCTCTGCAGCCGGTCCACACTCGGTCCTCTCCCTCTCCTCTGCTCTTTGTCCGCAGGGAGGCCTGATGTACCCACATCTCAGTCGCTTCTGCTTCCCTGGAGATGAAGGCCTGGCCTGGGGTCCCAAGGCCTCTGGGAGTAAATCAGTAAATTGTGGGGAGAGATGTGAGGAAGGGACCCAAAGAGAATGGGGTCCTCTCTGCTTGCAGCTGCCTGTAGTCTGCTGCCTACCCAATCCTGAAAACGGGGAGAAGCATCCGCCCCGTGACCTTGCAAGAAGCTGACCTAACGGAAGTGTCGAGGGACGGGGTCCTCCCCCAGCCCTAGAAATAAGCTGTCTGAAACCCATCGCATGAACCAGCCCAAGTTAGGAAGAATTTTTTTCTTAATAAGTATGTTCAACTGAATCCTGTGTTTTCTGCCCTTCACATACGGCCGGCCGTATGAATTCTCTAAACTTCTGCAAGAGCGAAGGAAGGAGAAAATCTCCATATTTTCTCAGCTATTTCAAAATGCGCTTTTTGAATTTCGGATGTTCAGACTGTTCCAAAAGGCCTCCTCTTGCAAGGGAAATAACTCACTCCATTTCAGTTCTCTATTTTTCTTCCCCTCTTTTCTCCAGCCTCTGTCTCTTTGCATTTTTAACTCCCTCTCCCAACAAGATTCTCCAGGGACTTCCGCCAGGACCTCTTCCCTTCCCTCTGCTGCAGAGCTGACCTGCCAGCCCCCGCCCAGCGGCACTCCTGTCCCCGTCTGGAGATTGGCCTGCCTCTGGGCCTGGGCAGAGAGAAGCCGGCTTCTGTTCTTGCCCTAACCACACAGCTGTCCATTTAGAGCTTTGCTACCTGGAAGGTTGGCATCAAGGAGGGACGGGTTCTGCTCTGCCTTGCTGGCTTTGTCCCTT